GGGATACCACTAGAGCTCTCCCTCGTGTGAACATTGATTTTTTTTTTTAAACAAACTGATGAAGGGTCTACTCTGTGTTCTCTTTTCTGAATGCAGGTGCCCCTGTTTCTATGCATGCGGGTGAAGGCAGATCTGGAACCCTGTCATGTCAAGGTTAGATGTAATTAATAAAGGAGATGCACTGAGCACTGGTATTCTAAATATTTATTTATTTCCGGACTGGACCTTGCTAAGTAGTTCAGGCTGGCCTTGAACTCAGTACAAGGCTTGAATGAACTGGAGGGGGAATCTCATACTTGCTATCAACTTCCCACATGCTGGGATTATAGGCCTGCACCCAGGCAACCATTTAAAAAGAGTCAAAGATAAGGCGCAGTAAGGAAACTGGGACCTAGCGTTCCAAAGGACCATTCTATAAAGATCCAGCCTGACCTCTAAGTCTTTGCCTTGTACCCCCAGTTTCCCTTAGTCTGTCCCCTGCTTAGCCTGCACTGACCTGCCATAACCTGCACTTGTCCGTAGCACAGATGAGACTGCTGTGATATTTGAGTGGGGTTTTTACTGCAGGCTCAGGAATCACAAAAGGGGACTCTGTGTTTAACTAGATGGCCTGACCCCCACCCCAGTTGCTTTAAGGGTGCTTCTTTTCCGCACTCCCAGCCGTCTCCACAGCAGATTGGGAAGAGAGGGCGGACACAGAGAACTTTTCCCTCCGTCTTTTACCTAGGCAATGATGTACCAGCTACATCAGAGAAAATACATTTACATAGCAGTGTCAGAGCCCTCTACTGAAGCAGAAATAGTGACATTCTTAAAAAATGAATGACAAAATCAATGTACTTCTTTCAGATGTAGAAAATAGCTTATGACTGTTAATATATATTCAGGAATCTATGAAAATGTTTCATCGACACATATCAAGAAGCATTTTTATTTGTATAATTATAATTAGTGCATGGTTCTCCCTGTACTTCTCTAATGGGGCTCTCTTAGGTATATTTCTGATATACTGACAGAAAAGCCTCCTTTGTTGCTGGGTGTGGTGGTGCAAGTCTGTAAGCTCAGCACTCAGGAGGCTGAGGCAGGAGAATTGCTGGGAGTTTGAGGCCAGCCTGGGCTGCATAGTGAGACCCTGTCTCAAAAAAAAAAACCAAACAAACAAAAACCTCCTTTGCAGATTTTTCTAGTTTCAAGTGAACCAGAAGACAATGACGGAGGTTTCTTGTGCATTCATGTAAAATAATATATCCCAGTGAAGGGTCTCACAGAGAAAGACCTATCATCAGCAGTAACTTTCACCTTTTAAACTGTGAAAACTTTTGTTATTGTGAATAATATTCTCAAAGCTTTGCTGAAGGGCTAATGGTCTGATAAAAGCTGTTTATCTGAGGCTGGGTGTGGTGGTGCACGCTTGTAATCCCAGCGCTCAGAAGGTTGAGGCAGGAGGATCACCACTGGTTCGAGGCCTACCTAGACTACATAGCAAGACCCTGTCTCAAAAATAAAAAAGAAGGTGTTTACTTGAAAGTTTAAAAGTTGTAAAGTTGTTAATTAAACGTGTAGAATACACAATACATATTGACTTTGGCACACATGAACTGAAGTTGCCAAGGGAAAGAAAATTTGTAAATAAGCAAACACTTTAGGTGTGGAATACAGTTTGACCTAAGCAGTTGTTTCAAAAACTGTCATCAGTTCAAATAGCTGGGGCAGATGTAAAGAAGGACATTTATGGGTTCAATTACTATGGATTGTCAAAGTTAAAAATAATCTTATATATGTTTCTCATTCTCACTTTTCATGATGTTTCAGTGTATTGATAATGTGGTATACTATATCCATTTATCTGCGCCTTATTTTGAATGCAATATTTTGCTAATGGTTGAAGAACTGCTCTCTTAAGGATGAAATACTTTTCATTAGGAGATCTGTGAGATAATTTACATTTATGAAAAATAAAAAAAAGATTTAGCCTGGGCCATTGACTTGGTCTTTTTTCTTCTTGAGATAGGGTCTCATTATGTAGCCCAGGTTGGCCTTTGAATTCCTCCTGCCTCAGCCTCTGCAATACTGGGATTATAGGTGTGGTCACCATGCCTGGCTATCTTGGTTTTTTTTTTTAATGAGAGACACTGATCTTGCAGAAGTGCATACTAGGTGGATACATCATTCTCTTTAAGATCTAAAGATATTTAAATGTTCTACACCTTAACAACATAGACAGAGTGAGGTTAGCTTTAACAAAAAACAGAGCAGCTTGTGAAACTTGAGAAAAGCCACATATAGAACACATTGCAAGAAACTATTTTATACCACGAGTGGTAAACTGCAGTGATCCAAGTAAAAACATGCAGTGCTTGTAGAGCAATTTCAAATTTGTATGTAGTAAGTGCTCCACTTGCAGAGGCAGTCCTGGCAGCTGTAAGCAGCTCCTGGGAGGGAGGATTTGAGCCTTGGAGAAGTTAAGCACCTGGGAGAAGAACACACACTGGTGAACTCAGTGGACCTGTGCTGGGGCAGAAGGGACAAAGGGCCAGACCCAGCGGAGCTCCTACCTGGCCTGGTAGAGCACTAGGTGGGTGCGGTGCGGTGCTGACTGCAGCCTCACTACCTCCGACCCAGGCTGCAGGGGAATCCAGAGAGCGCATGGCCCATTTCACCGATGACGCAGTAAGCATGGCTTAGACGGGTCACTCCAGGACTTTTTCTGCAAGGTGTAGGAGCTGGAACCCATGGTCTCGCTTGCTTTTCACTTGCTAGAACCTTTTTTAAAAATTCTATTTGCTAGAACCTTAAGCGTCCACCAGGGCTGATAGTCATTCTTACTTTCCTGAAGTCAGAACTGGGCTCAGGGTGGATGGGAGCCATTCGAGCAACTCTGGGTATATTTACGCTGGTGGAGAGGGGCTTGCAGCTGGGTGGGGAGCTGTACCGCTCCTGCCGTCAGCCCGCACCAGGCCTCCTCCGGTGTATCCCAGGCCTGCACAGGGCGCCGGAGCGCACAGCAGCAGGAGACGTGCTGGTCGGGGAGCCTTTTCGGGACGGGGAGACCCTCGGGCGCCTGGACTGCAGTGGCAGAGATCTCCCAGCCGGGCAGAGCAAGGATCTGAGCCCAGCAGGCTGCCAGCGCTTTCGGGGTGGTTTTTAAAAAGAAGCCAAGCAGGAATCTGCCTCTTAGGGAGACCCTGGCACATTCCCGTCGCTTCTGCCAATTTTATTGGACAGACAGTCCTCGGAGGGGCGAACTGGCCCATCTTTGGCAGTGGAGGAAGAGTTTCCCCCAGGGGCTGCATTTCATAGAGAGCGCCCCCAGGGGGGACTACTTCCACCTGGCGGAAAAACAAAGAAAACAAAAAATCCCGGAGCAACCCGGGCACGGAGGGGAGGGCCGGGAGGGTGCGCGTCTGGAGCAATTGCAAGGCTTTTTCCGTCTCGCCTGATGTGGCAACAAGGAAAGATTTGTTCGCTTTATTTATTTATTTTCCAATTTTTAAAGCTTTTCCTTTCCCCCTGGTCTCCCTGCCAGCCACTCAGGTTTGGGTTTTCCGTATGACTCACGGTTCCTTTGGAAAGTGGAGTGGAATTCATGAAAGTGGAGTGTGCGGGGGAGGCCGGCTGGGAGCCCCGGAGCCCTCCCCGCCTCCACCGAGCCCGGCCCCGCACGGGCGGAGAGCGGCTGGGAGCAGCCCGCTCGGGGATACACGCGGCTGGCGGGCGCTGTGGACCCGGGC